TAACCGACTGCGCCACCCAGGCTCCCCTACCCGGGCTTAAATTATACATGCTTTGTAATCAACTGTATGACATTGGTGAGATTTTCATACAGAGCTGTGGTGGGATCCAAGTCAAGATGGCTTGACCTTCCATAGATTGGTAGAAGAGTAATATGAATATAATGGAAAAGTGCCAAGTACGGTGATTTTTATATTAGGGTAACTGACAGCAGGTAACTCACCAAGTGTCTTAACATTTGCCATGCATCCAGCACTCTTTGAAACTGTTTGCCTCCTTCAGCCCATTGAATCCTCCAGTAAGCCTATGCTATACACAGAATTACCTCATTTTACAGATAAGTAAATTGAGCCTCAGAAAGGTAAAATAATTTGGCCAAGGTCACACAGCTGCTATGTGGTGGAGTAGGAAAAACTAAGTCAGTAGCTTTCCAAAACCAACCTTGCCACCCCAAAAGTCTTCATAGACAAAAGTGTGACATATTCAAGTTCCCTACCTTTCTAATATGTCTTGACTACAGACTCTCTTCTTTGACATATTGGCAGCTCTGACATATTTTTGTCTGTTTGCATCAGGGAAAGTTAGAATAAAATATTATTTTATGACAAGTACAGTAGGTTTTTTAAAGTCCTAAGAAGACATGATTTATCAATTCACAGAAACACCCTTCTTCCTATATACTTCAAAACAAAATAGGGACATCTGGAGGGCTCAGTTGGTGGAGCATGTGACTCTTGATCTCAGGGTTGTGAGTTCGAGCCCCATGTTGGGTGTACAGAGTACTTAAATAAAATCTTTAAAAACAAAGCAAACAAAAAACAACAGAGGTCTTGCATTCTGACGTGTACCAGATTTTGTCCTATCACAGATACATTTACCAAGGTATTTTTGATGGTGAAAGCCTTTTCACCCAACAGAACTCTCACAGTAGTTTATGAGAGAGCTGTTCACTCTTTGCTTCGTAGACAAACCTGTCAGAAAAGCTAACTTAATACTAAGTTTAGATCATTTCTTACGGAGCAGAAAGAAAACTGAAGGAGACCGTGGGACAGCTTTTCCTGATTAGCACACTCTTACCAATAGGAGAGGCTGACAATGACAGTAGGAACACTGGCTTGAGATCTGCTTTCAGCACTGCCCACAAAGGTACAAGAAGTACCAGAGACATTGGACACATTTTGGACATTGCCTTACACCCACCTTACACCCTCTTACACCCACTAGGGGGCGCACTAAAAACTTACTTTTCTGTGGGGACTACTTGCATCAGTCTCTTAACCTCTCCAAGCTTCAGCTCCCTCAGGATGGGGAGATGTGAGGACTAAATGTGACAATAGATGTAAAGTTTCTGACTCATGGTATGGCCCAATAAATGATAGTTTCTCCCTATCACTCACCCAAATATACATTAGAATAAAATAATAGAATAAATATTAAAAATAAATACATTAGTGTATATATATGTGTGTGTATATATAATATTGTATATATACGTGTGTATATAGTGTATATATATGTGTGTGTATGTATATATATATGTATATTATATATATATACATACACATTAGAATAAAAGAAGTTCATCTAGAAAGACCCAGCTGGCTCCTCAGATGGCAGTTCTTTGGGATTCACAGCTTGTCTCCTTGTGACACAAGGCCTGTTGGTTCTGGAAAAAAAAGAATTCTGGATCTCCACCCTCCCAAAATTGTTGACCTGATGTCTGCTGTTGATGTTCCACATCAGAATATACTACAACCTTGCAATTAGACAAGCTGCTTTCCAACATTGGGCCAGAGAGTGACTGGGGATTCCAACTATGAAACATGGTGCCCCCTGGTGACCAGTTGTCTCAGGCTTGCCAACAGAAGGAGCAGGAGTAGAGGGATCACTAGTCAAGAGCCTTGGATTCCAACCTCAGCTCCTCCATCTATCCCTTGAGAGCCCTTAAGCAAGTCACTTCATGTCCCAGACTCAATTTCCCTATTGGTAAAATGAAATGTTGAATGAACTGTTAAACTGTAGAATCTTGCCTGGTTCTGAAGTTCTGTGATGATATTCCATTACATCAAGACCAAGTATAATCTGGAGGTGATGTATTACATGCATTATTTGCAAACTTTATGTCATTGTTTTTTTTAAAAGGCAAATTGCACTGTTTTCAGTTGCTTCAGGAGACTATGTGCCCAGCTGGATAAATACCTGTTTTCCTTTTGGCTCATTGAGTTTTTTGTTCCATGGACCGTGTTGGACAAATTGTGCCCGTTTTCAAATTGGTGAAGGAGACCAATTGTCTGAGTGATGTTAACCTTTATCCTAAAACTTGAGCTTAATATTTTATATAAGCATAACTTGTATGTGTATATGTATAAGCATATGTGTATGTGTATACATATATATACATATACATATATATACACACATATTTATACATACATTTACACATATGTATAAATATGGGATACCATATTTATTTCTCTAACTACCTAACTCCACCTTCACCTTCTCAATGATATTTTCAACTCCGAAATATGGGATGTGGAGGGGAAAATGCAAGGGTTTGGGTCCAGGCCCTTCACTACCCTCTAGGAACCTTCACTCATCTTTCAGATCCACATCTCTGTTCACTAGATCACTGCAGTGTGTGGTGTGTGGAAATGAGCTAGATTTCCACAGCAGTCCCTAGGAAGTTCATTGGATCCAAGATGATTTGGCATTTCCCCCTTCTTCTAGCACTCTCCCATAGGATTGAAGGAGATTGCTGATGTGTCTATGAAGGACAGTGAGAGGAAGGTAGTGAGGGTTGAGTTGCAAGGTGTTTTTTTTCAATTAGGGCTCTATTTTCTCAGTTGTCAGAGTAAGACTGAAGCCCCTTGTGTTCCTGTCAAGAATGGGGAGCTTTGTGAGCACAGTTAACTCTTGAGGAGTGCCCTAAGGGGTATATGGTGTGAGGGTGGAATAATAGTCCTATCTCTGGACCTACAGAGGAGATAGGGAAGGATAGAGTAATAGCTAAGGGGATTATCTTCTCCAGCCAGCTTTTGCTTTAACTTATCCTTTTTTTCTCTTGTGACAAAAGGCATGTTTATTTTTTATTTTATTTTAATTTACATCCAAGTTAGTTAGCATATAGTGCAACAATGATTTCAGGAGTAGATTCCTTAATGCCCCTTACCCATTTAGCCCATCCCCTCTCCTACAACCCTTCCAGTAACCCCTGTTGTTCTCCATATTTAAGAGTCTCTTATGTTTTGTCACCCTTCCTGATTGTATATTATTTTTGCTTCCCTTCCCTTATGTTCATCTGTTTTGTCTCTTAAAGTCCTCATATGGGTGAAGTCATATGATATTTGTCTTTCCCTGACTAATTTCACTTAGCATAATACCCTCTAGTTCCATCCACGTAGCTGCAAATGGCAAGATTTCATTCTTTTTGATTGCCAAGTAGTACTCCATTGTATATATATACCACATCTTCTTTATCCATTCATTCATCGATGGACATTTGGGCTCTTTCCATACTTTGGCTATTGTTGATAGTGCTGCTATAAACATTGGGGTACAAAGGGCATATTTATTAATAACAGTTCAGAATATCGCAATTTCAAAAGCACTCACTTTAATCCAAACAACAGGCCTATAAAATTGACTGTGGTGTACAATTAAAATATTAACTTTCTTGGTTCTTGCCAGAACACAAAAATGTCTTCTAGGGAAAGACTGAATGTGCACCCAAAAGAGCCCTCAGCAACATGGCATTCATCTGGTGCATTGACCATGGTTTAAGATCCAGTCCTGGACCTTGTGGATCCAGAAGGGCACCTAGGATAGGACCTGCATTAATCAAGTTCCCAGAGACTGAAATATAAAAAGCTAGATGTTCATGGATTAATTTATAGTGAGGAATGCAGCTGTTGGGCTAACTAGGAGGCTTGAGTCAGCAGATAGGAACATTCTCTCTCGGCATGCTAATTATTTCAGAAGCCAAATTATAATCAGAAGGCCAATTTATTCACTTAAAGTGAAAAACATAAATTTTAAGTAAACCAGATGTTCCTGTTATCCCAGTCTCTCCTGAAAGATAAACTTCACAGGAAACAAAATTATTAGAAGATTGCTTGAGGGGCAGGGAATCAGAGAAAGGGGCATTTGGCAGTCCTAAAATGTGTCTTTTAGCAGCTGCACCCATGAAGGAATAGCCTTGCCAAGAAAATGGTAATGCTTAAGTCTCACGGGTTAAACCTTTTTCTCCCTGTACTAGGCATGGACGGGCACTGCCATTGCTGGCCTTGGCAGCTCTCCATTTTCATTGCTTCTGTTTCCCATGGTCCTTATCCAAACAGGGTTACAATACAAATAATTAGTTTTCTGCTTACTTTCTGGGATCCCTCCCAAATGATCTCAATTGGAATTCTTGCAATTCCAAAACTCATTAGTCACACATTTATAAACAGTGTCTTACTTTCCTAGGACAGATGGCTAATCCAGTTCATGAAGTGTGGATTTTACTAGTTTAGCTCTTGAAAATCTCACTTTTGATTTAATGAGCAGCATTACACTTTCTACATAAAAAGTTTGTGTGTGTGTGTGTGTGTGTGTGTATTTCACAGATTTAAAAATGGAGATTCAGAGGTGCTGAATGCCTTGCGTTGGCTCACACAGCTAGTAATTGGTGGGGCTGGAACTGAAACCTAGATCATCTGAGTTCAGATTCCACTCTTGTTCCATTGGATGTAATTGAGTTTTCTACTGCTGGAAGTTTCATTTTGAAACAAGAAAGGAAAATCAATGTGTCTTTAAGAATTAGCTTTAAAAAATATTAACTGATTTTTTCCCCTAAATGGTGGGTTTTGGTGGAGGCACAAAAATATGCAGTACAGCAGATGAGAAGACATAAATAAGTCATTCGGATGTAACCTGCTGCTACAGGAGCCATAAGGTCCAGGCACAAAGATCCAGCGACCTTGTTTGAGACTACACAATAAATGGATGTGTTTCTTTACAGAATATGAGTGTATCTGAGGCAAGAGGGAAAATCCTCCACTATCTAGTGACCTTGCAGGAGGTGGCAGGGGGGAAAGTCACAATGCAGAACATCACAGAACACACCTCCTGGACCTGGATCATTCCCAGAACTGGAAACTGGGCTGCAACTGTGTCTGCAGCCAACTCAAAAGGCAGTTCCCTGCCTACTCGTATTAACATAACGGACCTGTGTGAGGCAGGTAAGTACCAAGTTTCCTTCAATTATTGCCTGTGGGAAACTGTATCTTACTTACTTCATATCTCCCACCGGCTCAGCCCAGGGCCTGGCATGAGTAACACAGGAGTTTGGAGCTAACAGCCTTCAGAGGCTCTTTTGCACCCGGCCTTGGACAAGTGAAGTAACATGTCTGAACTTCAGTTTCCCCCTCTCCAAAGTAGGGATTATATTATCTGTCTTGCAGCTCATTGTCAGATTAAATAAAGACTAATATATAGTAGGTGCTTAACAAATGTTAGGAAATATTAGTTACATTAAATTGAACACTAATATTTGGCTAATTTTTCTAGGAGCAAGAATAACATGTGTTGTCAAGTTCTAGAAAAAAATACTCTACACTTAAGCATATTTTAAAACCAATAGTGTTGAAATTCTGGCTGTAATGAAATCATAGTAAAATTTTTCTGTACTATAGCTCTTTATTACACAAATTTAGATATGTACCAATTATCTATATTGAAAATCTCCCGACTAGCTATACACATTTTACAGTTGCATGCTCTGAAAACTAATTTCTCAAGATAAAAGCCTATGATTAGTCAATAAAATGGATATAAATGCTGTTTCTCAAATCTGTATTATAAATAGATTCCATGTCAAGATCACTGGCCTAACTTTTCCAAAAATGCCTAATAAAACTATAAGTAAATCCTTTCTTAAAATCCAGTGGAACAGTCTTATCTACATGTGAGTCTAGCAATCATCATTTGAAAGAAGTTTCTACTCAAACATGATTATTTTATATACACTGTTAAATCTTAGTTATATATCTTTTCAGTCATACAGCCATAAACATAGAGATAATAGAGTAGCTAAAAATAACTAGAAGAAAATACAAATAAATATTGATGTAACTTTGGGTTGGTATATGAGTTGGGAATTGCTCTTAGCAGTAAGGGGTTGCTCTTACCAGAGGTCTGACTAGAGTGTCTTTTATTAATTCTCTCACATATAAGAAGTTCAGAGGTAGACAGCTCAGGGCTGATGTGACAGCTTGGTGATTCCAGGCTCCTTCTTTCTGTTCCCTCTGCCAAGTTGGCTTCCATCCTCAAGATGGAAGTGGTCCAAGATGGCTGCCAGAGCTCTAGCTACTTTCTTCTAGGAAAAGAAGGAAGAGAGGAGGGCCCTCACCCTGAGGAGCTTTGTTCCAGGTCACACAACACACTTGGAGTCATTGACTCTGCCTGGTCACCTGGTCACAGGTGCAAAGGAGACTTAGAAATATACTCCAGGCAGCAGTGTTCCCTTGCTAAAGATGATGAGGAGAGAGTGTTTGGGAGAATGATAACTGGTAACTGATAACCTCTGACAAATGTGGGTAGGTATCTAAGGCAGAAACCCGAAGGAAAAGATGAATTAACTGTATGGAAAAAAAGCTCAAACTGTACGCATAGTAAAATAAAAATTTTTTAAACACCACAAACAAAGCTTTAAAAATGTAGATAGCAATTTGGGGTACCTGGGTGGCTCAGTCAGTTAGGCGTCTGATTTAGGCTCAGGTCATGATCTCACTGCTCCTGAGTTTGAGCCCTGAGTCGGGCTCTGTGCTGACAGCTCAGAGCCTGGAGCCTGCTTCAGATTCTGTGTCTCCCTCTTTCTCTGCCCCTCCCCTTCTCATGCTCTCTCTCTCTCATAAATAAATCAACATTAAAAATTTTTTTAAATAAATGAAATGTTTTAAAAATGTAAATAGCAATTTAAGAAGTGTTTATATCACATTTTCAGCAAAAGGAGATTATCTATTTTTTCAAATAAATAAGTGACCAGGGGATATGAACTGGCAACTCAAAAAATAAATAGAAAAGTAGCAATAAAGATGTGAAAATATGTTCAACCTAACTAGCAATCGATGACATGCAACTTTTGAAAAAACATAAGAAACCAAATCAGACTGAGAAAGAATAAGTAGAGTTAGTATAACCCATGTGGGGAGTGTGTGGGGAAGAGATACCCTTGTAGCCTGCTGGTGGGTATGTAAATTTGTACAACTTTCTGAAGACATTTGGCCATATGTAACAAACTTCAAATGCTAATATACCTTTGACCAAAAAATTTTACCATTAGAAATGAATCCTCAGCAAATGGTAAGTGCTTAGAAGTGTAGGCACAAAGATGTTTGTGGAAAAAATTTTGAAATAGTGAAACACCACAAACAACCTAACTGTTAAATAATAGAGAATGGACTGGCTTAATGTATCATGACTCTCACCTGCCTAATCCCACACTAGCATTAAAGTGATATTCTAATTGTGCTTTTATTGACAAGCAAAAATGCACATAATAAGTAAAAAGGTAGACTTTTTGTAGTATGTATGGGATGATGCTATTTAAAATATGTATTGGGGTGCCTGGGTGGCTCAATCAGTTAAGCATCTGACTCTT